AACCAGATGTGTGTAGTCAATCAGATGATGTGTCACATACTTACCCTGAAGTTTTTCCCGCATGCGCTGTCACTCGCGCTCAGTCGCGTAAAGTGGGTGATATGGTGGATTTGTCTGACTCTGTTTTTATCCCTCTTCTTGCTGGTGACGAATCATTGTGCACTGTTACGTCATCAAAAATAGATAAATCACAGTCAGAGAAAATGAGAGAAAATGTGTCTGACGCACCAGAATTGAAAATGTCCGTGTCACGAGAGAAAATTATTTCTGCACAGAAAGAAGATAAATCTCTCATTACTGCTTTTAATTCTGCTGTCTCTCTTGAGGTAGCTAAAAATCAGAAAGTTGCTTATTTTCTTGAGAATGAGTTATTGATGAGAAAGTGGTGTTCTAGCACAAACGATTCAGATTGGAATGTTGTGTATCAGGTGGTCATTCCTTCTCCTTATCGTCAGCATGTGTTATGTTTAGCGCATGATCATCAGCTTGCCGGTCACTTAGGAATTACGAAAACGTATGATAGGATTTTACAGCACTTCTTTTGGCCAGGCTTGAAGAAGGATGTTGCTCAGTACTGTCGTACTTGTCACACATGTCAAACTGTTGGGAAGCCGAACCAGGTGATTCGTCCTGCTCCACTGTTTCCCATACCAGCAATCGGGGAGCCGTTCGAGCATGTGCTCATAGACTGTGTTGGGCCGTTGCCTAAAACAAAATCGGGTAACCAGTTTTTGTTTACCATAATGTGCATGTCTACTAGGTTTCCAGAGGCAATTCCACTGAGAAAAATCACCGCACCCGTTATTGTCAAAGCATTAGTGAAGTTCTTTTCCACTTTCGGTCTTCCGAAAATAGTACAAAGCGATCAGGGCACAAATTTTTTATCAAGACTTTTTAAACAAGTGCTGGAGTCTTTAGAAATTTCTCACCGAGTTTCAAGTGCGTACCATCCACAAAGCCAGGGCGCACTTGAACGCTTTCACCAGACACTTAAGTCGATGCTTAAGAAGTACTGCATGGACACTGCTAAAGACTGGGATGAGGGGGTTCCCTTAGTATTATTCGCGGTAAGAGAGACTGTACAAGAATCTCTTGGTTTCAGTCCAGCCGAACTTGTATTCGGACATCAGATGAGAGGACCTTTGAAAGTTTTTAAAGAACACATTTTGACCACTGTTTCAAGTCCTCACACGAATGTACTGGATTATGTGAGTAAGTTTCGAGATCGTTTGCATACTGCTTGGTCACTAGCTAAAGAATCTCTAGGAAATGCTCAGAAAAGCATGAAGCGCAAGTATGATCAGAGAGCAGTTGCGCGTTCGTTTTCAGCCGGTGATAAAGTGTTGGTGCTTTTACCTGTTCCAGGATCATCTTTGTCCGCCCGTTTCTTTGGTCCTTATGTGGTGAAACAGAAAATGAGTGAAACTGACTATGTGCTTTACACACCTGACAGAAAACGTCAAACCCGAGTTTGTCACATAAACATGCTAAAAGCTTACCATGACAGGGAGATGCCTGAGGTGAAAACTTCAGAGGAGACTGCAGGGCCCGCTGTCTCATCTGTCGCATTAGCCGTGGATCTGTTAAAACCTGTTGATATCTCGGGGGCTGACGAGGATGGGGTCGTGCTTCGCAATGCTCCTCAGCAGTGTGCAAGGTTAGCTAATTCCGAGATTTTAAAAGATCTTCACTCGTATCTGAATCATTTAACTCCTGACCAGAGAACTGACATTGTTAAAATAATATCTGATTTTAACTGTCTGTTTAGTGATGTTCCTAAACAAACAAATGTTTTACAACATGATATTGTTGTAAATGATGCTCGTCCTATTAAGCAACATGCTTATCGCATAAATGCAGTCAAGAAATCTGTTATGCGTCAAGAAGTGAATTATCTGCTTGAGAATAATTTAGCCAGGCCTAGTTGCAGTCCCTGGAGTTCTCCGTGTCTTCTCGTTCCTAAACCTGACGGCACGTATAGATTTTGTACGGATTTCCGTAAAGTGAACGCCGTAACGGTGCCAGACAGTTATCCGTTACCGCGAATGGAAGACTGTATTGATAATCTTGGGTCTGCTCGCTTTGTTACAAAGCTGGATATGCTGAAAGGGTACTGGCAGGTACCACTTACTCCACAAGCGTCAGATATCTCAGCATTTGTAACACCAGACAAGTTCCTCCAATACACAGCGATGGCTTTCGGACTCAGAAACGCTCCAGCCACCTTTCAGCGTCTTGTAAATATCGTCTTAGCTGATGTACCGAATTGCAATGCGTATCTTGATGATTTAGTTTTATATTCAGTGACTTGGAAGGAACATGTGTGCTTGTTGAGAACTGTGTTCGAACGTCTACGTGCAGCTAACTTAACTCTCAACTTGGCAAAGTGTGAGTTTGGTCGAGCGACTGTCACTTATCTGGGTAAAGAGGTTGGACAAGGCCAGGTACGACCAGTGGAGGCTAAGGTTACCGCTATTGCAGATTTTCCAGTCCCTACCACTCGACGACAGTTGCGAAGATTTCTAGGTATGGCTGGTTATTACCGCAGTTTCTGTAAAAACTTCTCAACCGTTGTTACTCCTCTCACCTCGTTGCTTAGTCCATCTAAACTTTTTAAATGGTCTGTGGAGTGTCAGAATGCTTTTGATTGTGTCAAAATGCTTTTATGTAATGCACCTGTTCTCGTTGCACCTGATTGTACGCATACTTTCAAGCTTGAGGTCGATGCCAGTGCTGTTGGAGCAGGAGCTGTTCTTCTTCAGGAGGATACCCATGGTATAGATCATCCTGTGAGTTATTATTCCCGTAAGTTTAATAAACATCAGCTTAACTATTCTACCATTGAAAAAGAAGCACTTGCTCTCTTGCTTGCTCTCCAGCATTTCGAAGTTTACCTCGGTTCCAGTAGTCTTCCTATCACAGTCTTCACCGATCATAACCCTCTAGTGTTTTTATCCAGGATGTACAATCAAAACCAGCGTTTGATGCGCTGGGCTCTAGTACTCCAGAATTATAATTTGGAGATCAAGCACAAAAAGGGTGTTGATAATGTTTTGGCTGACGCTCTTTCGAGAGTGTAAAAATATTGTCTGTTTTAACTTGTTTTTCACAAACAGGTTTGCTCTTAAGGGTGGGAGTGTTACGTCCCTGTGGTTCCGCGTATGTGTTTTCTTTTGGTTTCTCTTTCTCTGCTATCACCTTCTTAGGTGTGCGTCCTCACTCATCTGCTGTTGGCTGGGAGAGATGTCAATCATCATTACATCGTGACGTCATCTCCTTCCCGCCGCCTATCAAGTTCAACACTCGAGTTTAAAGGGAAGCGGGAGAGGAACGCATGTCGGCTTGCTTTCTTTTCTGTCGCTTTGCTTGCCGCCTTTGTGTTTATTTTCCGTTACAGATATTGTCCTGTTGTTTTTTCTTTCTGCCATGACGGCGTGTTTTGAGATTACCAAGTGTAATGTGTTTTGCCATGACGGCGTGTTTTGAGATTACCAAGTGTAATGTGTTCTGCCATGACGGCGTGTTTTGAGATTACCAAGTGTAATGTGTTTTGCCATGACGGCGTGTTCTGAGATTGCTAAGAGTAATGTGTTCTGCCATGATGGCGTGTTTTGAGGTTACCAAGAGAAATTCGGACAGGTAATATGTCACGTGACGTACACAAAGCAACACTTAGCAAACTCGATGTATACAAACCCCAGGTAGGGAAGTGAACGCCACCCATGGATGTTTTGTTATTAGTTAGAACAGCTAGAGAGGGCGCTTAGGCGCTGAAGATTACTGTCTTTTCTTTTCTTTTTGTTATTAGTTAGTAAGAGGTTGGGACTAGATAGTCGGAGTTTGTTTTGTTTCTTTCTTTTATTTGGCGTCACTATTTATGTCCTTATTCTCTTGGGTTGTTTATTTTTTTGAACTCTCAATCTGTTTATATTTTGTTTATTTTCTTGGTGTCCACAAATATATTTATCATCATTATTATTATTGTCCATCTTTTGCATTTACACTTCAAGTACAATAAACCGTACTTTATTTTCTTTCATAATACTTTGTTGTGTCGTCTCTTGCCACCTTAAATACACCATCTTCTGGTCACGACCTCAATGTTGCCCCTTTAAAGACCTTTTGTCTAAGGGTGCGTAACACTATCTATCTATCTATCTATCTATCTATCTATCTATCTATCTATCTATCTATCTATCTATCTATCTATCTATCTCTCTTTTTAACTAATCTTTCATTCTTTCTAACTAATCTTTCATTCTTTCTAACTAATCTTTCTTTCTTTCTAACTAATCTTTCTTTCTTCTAACTAATCTTTCATTCTTTCTAACTAATCTTTCTTTCTTTCTAACTAATCTTTCTTTCTTCTAACTAATCTTTCTTTCTTTCTAACTAATCTATCTTTCTTTCTAACTAACCTTTCTTTCTTTCTAACTAATCTATCTTTCTTTCTAACTAATCTATCTTTCTTTCTAACTAATCTTTCTTTCTTCTAACTAATCTATCTTTCTTTCTAACTTTCTAACTAATCTATCTTTCTTTCTAACTAATCTTTCTTTCTTTCTAACTAATCTATCTTTCTTTCTAACTAATCTTTCTTTCTTTGTAACTAATCTATCTTTCTTTCTAACTAATCTTTCTTTCTTCTAACTAATCTATCTTTCTTTCTAACTTTCTAACTAATCTATCTTTCTTTCTAACTAATCTTTCTTTCTTTCTAACTAATCTTTCTTTCTTTCTTTCTAACTAATCTATCTTTCTTTCTAACTTATCTTTCTTTTTTATTTCTAACTAATCTCTTTCTTTCTAACTAATCTATCTTTCTTTCTAACTAATCTATCTTTCTTTCTAACTAATCTATCTTTCTTTCTAACTAATCTTTCTTTCTTTCTAACTAATCTATCTTTCTTTCTAACTTATCTTTCTTTCTTTCTAACTAATCTATCTTTCTTTCTAACTAATCTTTCTTTCTTTCTTACTAATCTATCTTTTTTTCTAACTAATCTATCCATCTTTCTTTCTAACTAATCTATCGTTCTTTCTTTCTAACTAATCTATCTATCTTTCTTTCTAACTAATCTATCTTTCTTTCTAACTAACCTTTCTTTCTTTCTAACTAATCTATCTTTCTTTCTAACTAATCTATCTTTCTTTCTAACTAATCTTTCTTTCTTCTAACTAATCTATCTTTCTTTCTAACTTTCTAACTAATCTATCTTTCTTTCTAACTAATCTTTCTTTCTTTCTAACTAATCTATCTTTCTTTCTAACTAATCTTTCTTTCTTTGTAACTAATCTATCTTTCTTTCTAACTAATCTTTCTTTCTTCTAACTAATCTATCTTTCTTTCTAACTTTCTAACTAATCTATCTTTCTTTCTAACTAATCTTTCTTTCTTTCTAACTAATCTTTCTTTCTTTCTTTCTAACTAATCTATCTTTCTTTCTAACTTATCTTTCTTTTTTATTTCTAACTAATCTCTTTCTTTCTAACTAATCTATCTTTCTTTCTAACTAATCTATCTTTCTTTCTAACTAATCTATCTTTCTTTCTAACTAATCTTTCTTTCTTTCTAACTAATCTATCTTTCTTTCTAACTTATCTTTCTTTCTTTCTAACTAATCTATCTTTCTTTCTAACTAATCTTTCTTTCTTTCTTACTAATCTATCTTTCTTTCTAACTAATCTATCCATCTTTCTTTCTAACTAATCTATCGTTCTTTCTTTCTAACTAATCTATCTATCTTTCTTTCTAACTAATCTATCTTTCTTTCATTCTAACAAATCTATCTATCTTTCTTTCTAACTAATCTATCTTTCTTTTTTTCTAACTAATCTTTCTTTCTTTCTAACCAATCTATCTATCTGTAACGAGGTGCGGTGAAGGAAGATAGGAGGCTGGATCCAAACGCAGTTTACACGCTTTATTTAAACAAACTAGAACTCAAACAGAGACTCAGAACGTGGAACAAGAACGACCAACACTCACGTTAATCCTGAAACATATATAACAACTCACAAAGACAGGGCAGAAACACAGGGCTTAAATAATCAAGAACAAACGAGCTAACAGGATAACAAGGGGGCGTGGGAAAATCAGAACACCTGGAAAAACTAATGACAAGACAGGGAACCACTAAACATGACATTATGACATAACCCCCCCCTTAAGGGCGGCTCCTGACGCCCAAACAAAAAAAAACCCCAAAAAAGTTCAGGAGGGCGGTGAAGCACAGGCGGTCTTGGGGGAGGGATGGAGGGCCAGGCCCGTGCAGGGGAACGGGACCAGGACCTAGGCAAGGCGGGCCTGGGCCGCAGAGCGTGGGCGGACCAGACTGGGCCGGTGGCCAGGGCGGAGCCGGACGAGGCGAAGGCCAGGGCGGAGCCGGACGAGGCGAAGGCCAGGGCCAGGGCGGAGCCGGACGAGGCGAAGGCCAGGGCGGAGCAGGACGAGATGGCGGCCATGGAGGTGAAGCCTCCTCGGGTGGCCATGGTGGAGAGGCCCTTATGGTCTCCTCACCGGACCCTTGGCCCCCCCCCAAAAAATACTTGGGGAAATCCACGGGTTCAGGAAAGCCCTCCCGGAGCTTGAAGGGCGCAGGCAGGGCGAGGCGCAGAGGCGGGGCCGGCAGGGCGAGGCGCAGAGGCGGGGCCGGCAGGGCGAGGCGCAGAGGCGGGGCCGGCAGGGCGAGGCGCAGAGGCGGGGCCGGCAGGGCGAGGCGCAGAGGCGGCGCAGGCAGGGCGAGGCGCAGAGGCGGGGCCGGCAGGGCGAGGTGCAGAGGCGGGGCCGGCAGGGCGAGGAGTCTGGGAACGCCCTCCGGAGCCTGGCGAGCCAAACGAGTCCTCCCTCTCTTCCTTCTGCGACGGCGCTTCACTGGGCTGGATTCACTTGACTTGGAACTGGACTCACTTGACTTGGAACTGGACTCACTTGACTTGGAACTGGACTCACTTGACTTGGAACTGGACTCACTTGACTTGGAACTGGACTCACTTGACTTGGAACTGGACTCACTTGACTTGGAACTGGACTCACTTGACTTGGAACTGGACTCACTTGACTTGGAACTGGACTCACTTGACTTGGAACTGGACTCACTTGACTTGGAACTGGACTCACTTGACTTGGAACTGGACTCACTTGACTTGGAACTGGACTCACTTGACTTGGAACTGGAGTCACTGGACTCACTTGACTTGGAACTTGACTCACTTGACTCACTTGACTTGGAACTTGACTCGGCGGAACTTGACTCACTGGAACTTGACTCACTTGACTCACTTGACTCGGCGGCACTTGACTCACTTGACTCGGCGGCACTTGACTCACTTGACTCGGCGGCACTTGACTCACTTGACTCGGCGGCACTTGACTCACTTGACTCGGCGGCACTTGACTCACTCGACTCGTTCGCGCCGGCTGGCACGCGTTCAAACTTCGGTTCGGCTAGCGAAACCTCCGCCGCGGTTTCTGGATTAGCAAAATCAACAGGACCAGTGCGGAATATGGGCTCGAGGGGTCCGACACGAAGAGTGGGTTTGGCGGAGCAGATGTGCAGCGCGGGTTCGGCTGAGCAGACATGAAGCGCGGGCTTGAGGAGCGCGGGTTCGGCTGAGCTGAAGTGAAGCGCGGTCTCTCGCCGCTTCTCCTCCACGCCCACAGTAAATGATGAACCGCTCCTGAAGAGGGCCAGGTTGACATACCCCTCCAGGGTCCAGCTGGTACAGTCATCCGGCATTAACTGGGCAACGTCCTCGTCCAACCCGCTCCAAAACAAGTCCATGAGCTCGAGGTCTTCTAAAGCCCCCAGACGACAGCACGACATAAAATCCCTCACGTACCTCTCGATGGACTGGCCTTCCTGGAATATCGAGGCAAGGAAACTTCTGAGGGCCTGGTTGCTGACAACTGTGGGAGCGACTGCTGGATCCATTTTGCGGTGAGTTGTTCTGTAACGCGATGCGGTGAAGGCAGATAGGAGGCTGGATCCAAACGCAGTTTACACGCTTTATTTAAACAAACACACTTAAACAGAGACTCGGAACTTGGAACAGGAACGACCAACACTCACGTTAATCCTGAAACACATATAACAACTCACAAAGACAGGGCAGAAACACAGGGCTTAAATAATCAAGAACAAACGAGCTAACAGGATAACAAGGGGGCGTGGGAAAATCAGAACACACTCTCTCGCACTGTCGAGCGCGCGCTCGGACACACTCGGTCTCTCTCGCACTGTCGAGCGCGCGCTCGGACACACTCGGTCTCTCTCGCACTGTCGAGCGCGCGCTCGGACACACTCGGTCTCTCTTGCACTGTCGAGCGCGCGCTCGGACACACTCGGTCTCTCTCGCACTGTCGAGCGCTCGCTCGGACACACTCGGTCTCTCTCGCACTGTCGAGCGCGCGCTCGGACACACTCGGTCTCTCTCGCACTGTCGAGCGCTCGCTCGGACACACTCGGTCTCTCTCGCACTGTCGAGCGCGCGCTCGGACACACTCGGTCTCTCTCGCACTGTCGAGCGTGCTCGCGGACACACTCGGTCTCTCTCGCACTGTCGAGCGCGCGCTCGGACACACTCGGTCTCTCTCGCACTGTCGAGCGCTCGCTCGGACACACTCGGTCTCTCTCGCACTGTCGAGCGCGCGCTCGGACACACTCGGTCTCTCTCGCACTGTCGAGCGTGCTCGCGGACACACTCGGTCTCTCTCGCACTGTCGAGCGCGCGCTCGGACACACTCGGTCTCTCTCGCACTGTCGAGCGCGCTCGCGGACACACTCGGTCTCTCTCGCACTGTCGAGCGTGCGCTCGGACACACTCGGTCTCTCTCGCACTGTCGAGCGCTTGCTCGGACACACTCGGTCTCTCTCGCACTGTCGAGCGCGCTCGCGGACACACTCGGTCTCTCTCGCACTGTCGAGCGCGCGCTCGGACACACTCGGTCTCTCTCGCACTGTCGAGCGCGCGCTCGGACACACTCGGTCTCTCTCGCACTGTCGAGCGCTCGCGGACACACTCGGTCTCTCTCGCACTGTCGAGCGCGCGCTCGGACACACTCGGTCTCTCTCGCACTGTCGAGCGCGCGCTCGGACACACTCGGTCTCTCTCGCACTGTCGAGCGCTCGCGGACACACTCGGTCTCTCTCGCACTGTCGAGCGCGCGCTCGGACACACTCGGTCTCTCTCGCACTGTCGAGCGCGCGCTCGGACACACTCGGTCTCTCTCGCACTGTCGAGCGCTCGCGGACACACTCGGTCTCTCTCGCACTGTCGAGCGTGCTCGCGGACACACTCGGTCTCTCTCGCACTGTCGAGCGCTCGCTCGGACACACTCGGTCTCTCTCGCACTGTCGAGCGCTCGCGGACACACTCGGTCTCTCTCGCACTGTCGAGCGCGCTCGGACACACTCGGTCTCTCTCGCACTGTCGAGCGCGCGCTCGGACACACTCGGTCTCTCTCGCACTGTCGAGCGTGCTCGCGGACACACTCGGTCTCTCTCGCACTGTCGAGCGCGCGCTCGGACACACTCGGTCTCTCTCGCACTGTCGAGCGCGCGCTCGCGGACACACTCGGTCTCTCTCGCACTGTCGAGCGCGCGCTCGGACACACTCGGTCTCTCTCGCACTGTCGAGCGCGCGCTCGGACACACTCGGTCTCTCTCGCACTGTCGAGCGCTCGCGGACACACTCGGTCTCTCTCGCACTGTCGAGCGCTCGCGGACACACTCGGTCTCTCTCGCACTGTCGAGCGCGCGCTCGGACACACTCGGTCTCTCTCGCGACCAAGGCTGCATTTATATAGGCCTATATATATATATATATATATATATATATATATATATAAAACGAATATTCTGAAATTATTAGACTTTAAAACGGCGGTTTTCTATGTGAATATATAGTAAAGTGTAATGTATTCCTGTGATCAAAGCTGAATTTTCAGCATCATTACTCCAGTCTTCAGTGTCACATGATCCTTCAGAAATCACTATAATATGATGATCTGACTGAAATATTATTATCAATGTTGAAAACAGTTGTGTGCAATCTGTTTCCAGGATTCTTTGATGAATAGAAAGTTCGAAAGAACAGCATTTATTTTGTAACATTATAAATGTCTGTAACTTTTGATCAATTTATCAATCCTTGATGAATAAAAGTATTGATTTATTTTATTTATTTCCCCCAAAAATTAAAATAAAAATTCTTACTGACCTCAAACTTTTGAATGGTAGGCTAGTGTTTAATGTTACAAAAGGTTATATTTCAGATAAATGCTGTTCTTCTGAACTTGCTATTCATCAAAGAATCCTGAAATAAAAACTGTAAAAAAAAACTGTTTTCAACACTGATAATAATCATAAATGTTTCTTGAGCATCAAATCATCATATTACAGTGATTTCTGAAGGATCATGTGACACTGAAGACTGGAGTAAAGACTTCTTTTAAAAATTTTAAAGGCTTATCGATCCAAAACTTTTGAACGAAATGTGTAAATATATAAACGGTTGAATTATCATGTGAGCAATCCCAATAGTGTATGTAGGAGTAAATGCTGAGTAATAATGATGGTATGAATGACAGTTTGAGTAATAATAGACGCTTTCTTTAATCCAAACAGACTTCAACCAGGCGAAGAAGAGGCAAGTGGCCACGCCCCGCAAATCAGGACAATAACACACTCTGTGGTTGTGTGTGTGTGTGTGTGTGTGTGGTTGTGTGTGTGTGTGTGTGGTTGTGTGGTTGTGTGTGTGTGTGTGTGTGTGTGTGTGTGTGTGTGTGTGTGTGTGTGTGTGTGTGTGTGTGTGTGTGTGTGTGTGTGTG